TTTTTATCTTCATGAAATCAGAATCTTGATTTCTTTTTTTCTTATAATTATTCTCAAAGCTGTGTGTTATTGGTGAAAGCTTTTTTGTTGGCCACAACTAAAGTCTTGATGTGGACATTGCTGTTTCATTTGCTTTGCTTTGAAGAAATAAAAGAAAAGAATTAAAATTGTGGGTCCTGTGTGTCAACTTTCAATCAATAGCCATCATCCTCATGCCGACCATGAGATTTAAATTCAACTGCTTAGATTCTAAAATTAAATTTTATCATGAATATACGCATGTCACGTAGGGTGATGATGTAATGATATTACTTCATTCTCATTGGTCATACTCATATGCTAATATAAAAACAATCCTCGTTCTCAACATGAATATGGTCCAGGTTCTTAATGAGTTCACTCATGGTAGACAAGAGAAAATAAGCAAGACTGAGTTCAAAGAGGTCCTGTCAGATTTTCTACTGGGCATGGCTGCCGGCTTGAAACGAGACCCTGTGGTGATTCTTCGAATGGATGGTGAGGATCTTCGTGAGTTTGTTGAGAGTTCAAGCTTCGAACCCGAAATGCTGTCTGTTTTTTCGGAGATTGAATCATCACATGGATCTCTTAGAGACTGTATCGTGAAGGCCTTCGAGAAACTCACGGTTGATCAGGGCATGCCACCTGCTACTGATCCTTGGGTAAGAATCTAACTTTTAGAAAGTGAGTTGAGCTTCAATAATGCCCAATGCCTAAATAATAGAGGCTAATAGATTATGGCTATGTTTGGTAAACCTAGCTGATAAGTTAGTTTATAGCTTTTAAGTGAATTTCGAGTTTATAGCTGATAGCTTATGACTTATGGTTGAAAAACTAGATAAAAGTGTTTGGTAAAATTAGCTGAAATAAAATTGTCAATGGGTTTATTTGAAAAGCTACCCAAGGAAACTTATGAGGTAAGATCGAGTTTTTTAAAAAGGTTCGTCCTACCAAACTAAGCTTATTTGAATAAAGGAAGCTTATAAGCTAATCTAATAAGCTATAAGTTAGCTTATATGCTTACCAAACACAACCATTAAACAGGGTTATAATAATTACATAAATATCTCTAGTCGAAGAGTATTTGTTAAACTAAAACAAACCTGACGTCTGTAGTGTGTACTAGAATGGACTGTTTGTAAAATCTGAGATGAGGCTCTCCGCGTCTTCTTCATTTTTATTTCCTGTAATTTATCATTTTCTTATTTAATTCTACCGTATATTTTCTTCTTCTGTTTACTCGTTAAACTGGCTCGTACCTTTTGTTGTAGGTCACAAGTAACATTCTTGAACCTGCTCTCGAATCACTTGGGCAGTTTTCCGTTTCACAAGAAACATTTTTGGCCGAGTTCAAAAAAGCTGCCGAGAATGTGGTTCGAATTCTCAAAGAGCAACCGGCTATTGTTGCTCACAGCCAGAATACTTTTGACGGCAGTGGCATTAAGAGGCTGTTGTCCAACAAATTTGAGCTGGAGAAGGTTAGTGAAAATTTCCATATTCATCACTTTACTTTGCTATTGCTTCGTTTTCTTATCATTTTTTTTTTTCTTGTTCATTTTGTTGTGCAGACACTCAACTCTGCTTTAAAGAGTGTACCCAAAGATCGTCATGGGAAGATATCAAAGGAATATTTGAGTGTTGCACTTGATTCTGTGGCTGCATCTGCCAACTTGCCTCCTCTTGGCGCTGTTGATCAGGTTAGTGATTGATTGATGACTTGTACTATCGTAAGGGCCAGTATATTTTTTAAAAGAAAAGTATTGTTAATGACAAAATGGACCCAGATGTTTTGCAAAATTACGAAAGCACACTTGAGGTTTGGTCATGCATTACACGTGGCCCTTCATAATTGAAAGGATTCAAAGCAACCTCTTCTCATCTAAAAAAAAAAATTTGTAAGTTTGGCGCTTAAATTTTGGCACTCTGAAGTAATTTTTAAACGACCTCGGTGTTAGGGTAATTTGTGCAAATCCCTATTTACCTAGAAAATATCAAAAAGCAGAAGAAGACAAAAAACTCAAAAAAGATATCCTCATGGCCACAGCCTTGCATATATGCTTATACCAGCAAAAAACAGTTACTAACTATGGTAATTTGTAAAATTTTGTAATTTTCAATGATATATTTTTTGTACTCTGCATTGATAACTTAAATCTCCATTTGTGAATTCTTTGCTCCATCTTCCCTGTGACTTCACATTTCGGTCAAATTTAATGTTAGTAACGTAAGGTAACAATGATTTATTTATTATTGCTTGCAGATGGATCAAATCATGACCGAGGCTCTTAAGATGTTTGATTCTGGTGATAGGAAAACCGTGAAAGAAAACGAGTTCAAGAAGCTTCTGACAGAAGTTTTAGGAAGCATTATGCTGCAGTTACAAGGCAACCCGATTTCGGTCTCTATAAACTCAGTCGTGCACGAGCCCCTTGCTTCATCATCCACCCTTCTCCAGCCATCATCACCATAAGCCGAAAAAGGCAAGACTTTCTTGAAAAAATGTGCCATGTGGATGAAATATTATAAGAAACCGAGTCGTTTGAATTTTGGTGTGAGCGGCCGGGAAGGTTGTTTCTAGCTTTGAAGCACTTACTATTACTACTACTACTATTATTGCTACTACTTTCTTATATGTTGTTACCTATGTGGGTAGAAAATATGTTGTTTGTAAAAACACTTGGTGTAATCTTGAATATTAGTGATTATTAGCAGTTGATGCTGTAAAAAAGTTTTTTTAACCGTGCTTGCTGTGTTTATTCGATTTGCTCTTGTTTTTGGCTATGTTTGGTAATCAAATAAGCTAACTTATATCTTATTTGATCAACTTATATGTTTCCTCTATTCAAATAGACTTGACGTATTTTTTTAAAAAGCTTGAGCTTATTTTATAATTTTCTTTGAATAACTTGTCAAATAAGCTTATTGAAATTGTTATTTCAGCTAGCTTATCAATTATATTTACTAAACACTTTTTAAGCTAGGTTTTTAGCTATAAATCATAGCTATAAGATATAAACTCGAAAATTACTTATAAGCTATAAGTTAACTTATCAACAGTCAACTAATTGTACCAAACATAGCTTTGTGGAGTTATTTAGTTTGTCATAAGCATATGGACATCAACCAAATATTGACATCTTTCACAAGCTATTTTATAAAGAGAAATATATCAGGAGTTNTAACTATAAATTAATTAATAACTTATTTACTTAATTTATCAATTTTTTGTTTTTAAATATATTTGTTGTGTATGCTGAACTTTCTAATAAAGTACAATTAAAAATTTTCTTTAAGCCGACTTATGATTTATGATTAATTTTATCAAACACCTTTGTTATATTAACAAAATTTTCAAGAGGAATTTGTACCCCTTACTTTAAGTTATGATATATATTGCACTTATACACCTATTATAAGCTTATTTATAAATTTACTAAATTATGCATAAAAAATTGCATTTATACCTGAAATAAGAATGGTAAGATGTAACGGTTTCTTAAGGAATTATCCGGACAAATTAAAGTAAGTGTTTTAATTAATTGAAATTAATTACTCACTTACCAAAAAAGCAGAACCAACTTAATTTTCTCTCTCTATCTCTCTCACTATGCTATCATTTCTCTCTCTGCGCAAAACCACCACCGCCCCACGTTCACCTCTCTCAATACAAAAAAAACTTCTTCAATGGCCAAGACGAAACTACCAAATTCGGCTCGAAAAAAGCAGAAAAACGGTGCCGACGAAACACCACAAAATAGGTCGAGTGCCCGGCTTCGAAAAATCCATTCAAAAGCACAATTCGATTAGGTTTAATTGCCATTTGTTTTAACTACTTGCATTCAGCAATTCGTTATTATCGTGGTTAAATTTTATTGTTACTTATTATTTATTTTTTGCAGTGACTACGAGTGTTTGTTGCATCGTTTGCCGAATATTTCATTTCAGGTCATGACATTACCAAAGTGAAAATTGATGCTAATGTGCAGAGGCATAGATATGGATATCTGCTCTACACTCATGGCCTAATGAAATAGATGAATGGGTATGAAAGTGACGAGAATCACCCNGAACTTATGTTATCTCATGGTTTATTTTTGTTATATATCTGGTACATGCACTGCTTTTTAGGTCCCCATGTATACTAGCTACATTGTTTATATATTAAGTGTATATACAAGCATTTAGATTATGTATATTAAGTGTATGTCTGGTATATTACGTGTATATACAAGCATTTAGATTATGTATATTAAGCTTATGAAAATTAACATTACTTGAACTTATATTATCTCATGGTTTATTTTTGTTATATTTCTGGTATATGCACTGCTTTTTAGGTCCCCATATATACTAGCTGCATTGTTTATACATTAAGGGTGTGATTGGTTATAATAATGTTATGGGCTTCATTAATTCCTATGTCAATTATTACATCTATCCATTCAATTTATTAGCATGTTTGGTTAGATAATAATAAATTCCATACTTTTAATTTTTCATCTTTCTTCTTCAAATGCCCTCTACACAAAACGTATCACTTTTGTGCACTTCACATCTCCGCCGCCATTGTAGATCGGATTCGGTAATCCACGGCCACCAAAGTCGCGGCGAGCCCGCCATCTTAGCCTGTAGCGTCCACCGTCTCCATCGCCAAGTCTATGAAATCGCAGATCGAATTTAGAAATCCACGGCCGCCAGCACTGCAGCGGGCCCACCGCTTGGAGGCTCGCTGAAGAACTTAACTTGGTCGAGGATGGCGCTCATCTTGACGGATTCAAAAAGAACCGGTTGGAGCAGTCAGAGCATACCTCAGTCCGGATTCGCAGAACAGGGCTTCATGAAAATTCGTTTTTATTGCTGAGAAATTCGAGACTTTTGTGTGCCGTGAGAATTGAAGGATGGAAATTGGGGAAAAAGAATAAGAAGAAAGGGGGAGGATTTTTGGAAAATTTTTGGAGATGAAGTTGGGATGTTGGTTTACGATTTGGAAAGAAGAGGAAAAAAAAAGGAATGATGAAATTGGGGATTTTACGAAGAAAATTTCAGGACATTTTAGAAAGTTAAAATTGTTGAGTGATTTTATGCTGTATCCCACCAATTTGGTCGGATGTGTTATAAACAAATTGAAGGATAATTTGACCGGGCCATGCCATGTTCAACCAATCAGCATAAAAGCTGTTAATGCTTAAGAAAGTGTGTGATATCCTTCCTTATCACTCCAACCAATCACACCCTAAGTGTATATACAAGCATTTAGATTATGTATATTAAGGGTCTGTTTGGTTGGATGGATTGTGCATGATATCACACTATTTCACAATATTTCCATCTCATTAACATGTTTGGTTCCAATAATGAGGCCCTTGAAATGAGTAATAGCCCGATCAGTTTTTAAGATATTTCATGATTATATATCCCACCTTTTAGGTTGGATGTGGAGTGTATCATTATTTTTCTATTAAATTTACACAATTACCCGTAACTCTTTTCTTCCACAAATTTTCACAATTTCCCCCAACTTTTCTAAGATAACCTTTCTTCTCCTCCTCACACCTCTATTTTATTCTCCAGTTCCATTGACGACCAAGCTCTCCAAAGAAAGTCAACTCTAAATGACTCCGTCGCCGCCCTCCGCTCCTGGACCTCAGGCGACCGCGCCCCGAGACTCCGGACGGTGCCGTCCAGAACCCAGCCTCAAGTCGGTCGACCTGCGCGGCCCAAACCCTCCTTCTACAGTCCCCCAACGTCGCGGCGCAATGCCCGCTGACCTACGACAATATTACTTTCCGACAAGGATTTTCTCAGCGTTTGTGTTTCCGACGAACAAAGAAGGAAAAGAATGGAATTTCTATTGTAGAATTTTGTATCAATTAAAGAAAAATCTGTTTTTTTTTTCAACAAGGAATTATTTGTTGTAAAAATTGGGGTTTTGAATTTTTTTCGTGCGTTTTTAATGCACTGTGAGCAAAGGAATCGGTATATGTGAAAGCTGCATAGTTTTTAAATTGTGTTTACATGGATTTTAAATTTCAGAAGAAATCTGAATTTTTGCACACTTGGGGCTGCGGGAGATGAAAATAGGCATGGTGATGCGCGAAGATGAAAACAAACATTTGCAGATTGAATTTTAAATAAAGGATAAAAAGGTAATTTCAACTTAAAGGTTTTAATAATCATTTAGTAACCATACAAGTTAATAGCCCTCTTTTATCAAAAGGATAACCCATAAATATTTTAGTAGGAAATAATCAAGCTCAATCAATAAAACTAACCAAACTCACCCGTGTATACATTGTTATATATCTGGTATATCCACTGCTTTTATGAACCAAATATACTAGCTACATTGTTTATATATTAAGTGTATATACAAGCATTTAGATTATGTATATACAGTAAGTAAAGTTACACCATTTGTGTAATAACTACAAGAAAACGAACAAGTAACAATATTAAGCAACACTCAACTTAAAAACCATTAATATTGTACATAACATTAATAAGGCTTTCATCGTTTTGGATTCCGATAAGTTTCCACATGTGGCCTTTCTCATGACATTTGTTGCATCTATTTTTTGATCTATGCTCTCATCCCGACTTTAATCGTTGCTTGTGTGGTCTCCCTGGCCTAACTCTTGTATCCGGAGGATTTACCAATCTTGGGGTAGATGGTGCATCAAACGTGAAGGCTTGATTACCTTCTATTGGTATTACAACATCTTCATAACTTGCCAACATAGAAGAGGTTAAGTAGTACACAGAACAGAATGAGACCGGATTTAGATGGAGTGATTTTATCACACGTATAGCGTGCGGGCACGACAGCTCATCAACTTGAAAGCGGTGGCATGTGCAATACTTGGCTTCAATGTCTACTATAAATGCCTTACCATCAGACATCACTTTATACACTTTGTCGCTAGCTTTCTGTACCTGTTACACATATTGGTATATGTATAGTATATTATCGATATATAACAGGACAAATATACACTAAAAAAAATTAACTAAACTAGTATATTATAAGTATATAGCCGGTTTAGTATATGTATATGTGTTGTATATAGTTACACAAGGTGGAGTATACCAGAGGATCATGTTGCACATATTTGTATATGTATAGTATATTATCGGTATATAACAGGACAATGATACACTAACAAAAATAATAATAATAATAATAGTAATAGTAATAATAATAATAATAATAATAATAATGATAATAATAATAGTAGTAGTAATTATAGTATATAAACAGAAAGTAAATTGCAGAAAGTAAAGTGCAGAAAGTAAAGTGCAGAAAGTAAATTACAGTAATAATAGTAATAATAATACTAATAATAATAATAATAATATTTCTATATATATATATGCGATAAGTAATTGGCAGGG